ACTAAGGCACAGCACTTCTCTCAGGGTTCTAGAAGGATGAAGTAACTTGTACATGGTCAGGACACTAGGGAACTTGTACATAATCCTGAGTTTTCTAGATCTAAAGTCTCTATTCTTTCCCATACACAGCCTGTTTAGTGACATTTTGCAGCTATTTAATATTAGCAAGAGATCTAAGAATCCTACTGACCCATCAAAAACTGTGTAAAGTCTAGGATTTTACTCTACTTAAAAGCTAACAAGTTAGCCTAATACCATTGGTTTCATAGATGCTGGCAGAAGACACAAGACCATTGTGTCAGAGACAAAGGATTTTATTACTCATGCATTAGCCTCCAAGTCCTGTGAGGGTGATGTACCATGGATGCTGTGCATACAGCAAGGGAGGCGAGCTTCCTCTTTAAGGGGAGAATTACCTTATCCCTCCAGGTTGTTTGCTGCAAGCACAATCCTGACAAATAAGAAGTGGCCCATGTAAAGAGTAATCAGGGACTTTCTTGGATACTCAGTAAGAATATGCAGGGACACAGAGCCTATGGTAGACTGCTTCTATAAACATGACCTGAAGGTCGATAAACTAACAGCTACTCAAATGGCAGAGCACAGAAAAATGTCCCATATTTCAGTATTTAAATCTCCATAATCTGCATATTTCTTTTTAAACTGGCTTATGTGATTACTTATTATTTAATACTTTAAAGTTGTGGTCAATTTTGAAATATGGGATCAGTATTTCTGGGTATGTTTCAGACTAATGAAAACTTCCAGGAAGAAGTGAAAACAATGTAATACAAATGTGAAAATAATTTCATTTCTGATTGACTTTAATTTATATTACTATCTATAATTACTGCCATCCTGAGTGGGGTAGGTGATACACAATGGAGTACAGTTCTTTCCCTTAATAGTGTACAAATAGTATGACGGCATGGAATAATCAGTTATGAACTAAGACAGATACTAAAATAAGACACTGAAATAACTGAGTCCAAATAAATAGGGCATTAGGAGTTCACAGTAAATAGATCACGGTGAAAGGAAATGGTCAGAGTAACTGTCACAGAGATGGGACTTAGAATTATAACTAACATTACTGAGGAACTACTGTATGTCAGGTTCTAGATTGTTTTATGTGCATTATTTAAACTATACAACACCACCCTGGAATATAAGTATCATGATTAGCCCATCTAATAGAGAAAGAGGCAGGTTAAGAGAGTTGAATTGCTGGCACAGTCTAATATTCAGATTTGCCTGAGACTTCCCACTTTAGGGACTAGCGTCCAAATTGAGCAACTAAGCTTAACCCGGACCTTCATAAAGTACAAATCTCCTCTTACTCAGCATCACAAAGGTGCACTGGTGCACAGAGTGTTCTCAGGACAGACTAATGCCCTTGACACTGGAAGTTTTGCTCTTTACCTTTGTATTAATAATTTATTCTGCCTCATACCTAAACTTAAGTGTTTCTTTATAAAGCCAAATCTTACACAGAAATTTAATGACTTTTTGACTCCCGTGGCAAATCTTAGTTAAGCTCCAATATACTATTTTAGATGGTGTTTGAATCACAAGGGGATGCTTCAGTCAGATTCCGGAAATCTGGACTAAGAAACAAAGCTATGTCAACACATCTTATTATTTATATTAAAATTTTTATCATCAGTTTCTCTACAAATATTTACTGTATTTTTACTTAGTACTCGAAATGGGGAATAAAAGCTATGCAGATTAAGCACAATTTCTGTCTCAGTGGAACCTGTGATCCAGAATAACATAACTAAACATTTGTTTCCTAAACTCTAACCAAAGGGATCCAATAAAAACTTGTCTATGTGATACTACCCAATATATTCTTCTAGCTGATTTTATTACTAAAAGGTTGTTGTCTAACACAATAAAATTTTTTTAAGTTGCCTTCTTAACTAATTGGTTTATTTGGTTTTCTGGGCACTGTGAACTCTTTAATTGAAGGAGTTTGCTTTGTGGAAACCTTTGAACCAGATTTGTGGCTTATCCACAGCAGTGTTAGTCAGTGATACTTTAATTATCAGTTGTGGCTCCATTTTAAGCCCTTATCCTTATTTATTCACTTATGCTATTTTGAATTTTCTGCAAGCTGCCTCATTCCTTTCTAGAAGATGGTAGGATAAACATGAATGATGAATGAATGAATGAGCAAGCAAATAAACACATACACATACACTTCTCTAGCATTGTATGATCTTACCAAATTGTAAAGATTTGCTTCTCCATCTCCCTTACTGCACTTGACCTCCATGAAGACAGGTAAATGATCTTATTCAGTTTTGTATCCATAACATCTAGCATAAAACTATGGTACATTAATGTTTTAATAAATATATGACTTTGGCCAGGCACAGTGGCTCATGCCTGTAATCCCAGCACTTTGGGAGGCTGAGGCAGGCAGATCACTTGAGGTCAGGAGTTCGAGACCAGCCTGGCCAACATGGCAAAACTGTGTCTCCACTGAAAATACAAAAATTAGCCAGGCGTGCTGGCAGGCACCTGTAATCCCAGTTACTCGGTTGGCTGAGGCAGGAGAACAGCTTGAACCCAGGAGGTAGAGGTTTCAGTGAGCTGAGATCACGTCATTGCACTCCAGCTTGGGCGATAGGACCAAAACTCCATCTCAAAAAAAATGTCTTCAGCACAACAGAGCTTAAATCTCATTATTGCGTCAATATTAACATTTCCTAATACTGTTATAATTTCCATGTCATTACTGATGACATGGTAATGTAAAGGCCTTCTTATCACATAACTCCACTGCTGTGCTACATGCTACAAATTAATGCTTTTGATACTTTTTCTTCTACTCCATTCTACTGCATTAAAAAAAAAAAGCTTATTTGGGTCTACTGGACATTGGCTGCATCCTGATGTGCTTCGATGGTGAACACAAAGCACTATCTAGGAAGTATTGTCTCAAAATGCTAACTGCAATTCAATGCATTGATTTCACACCCATAGTTTGAAACAATGCTTATCCTACACAAGGGATCTTGTCTCTTTCTGAACTGGCTAAATTTCATGAACTTTAGAACATAAAAAACCTTATAAAAAAATCCAAAGATGTACAACAAAGAAAAATGCATAATGCAACTCCAATGCAGCCATCATCTAACTCAAACAATGATCAATTTCATTGGCCAATCTCATTTCATCTCTATCCTGCCAAATTTCCCTATCCATCCTTGATTATTGTGATGGAAATCTGAGGTAGCAGATAATGTAATATGTAAACATTTTAGCATGTATCACTAAAGTAAGGATTTTTCTATTAAGTCATAAAATAAACCCTTCTTTCATTTTACTTGTATCTACAAACACTCCCTATACTCTGCTCAGTAACAAGATCCCCTTCCAGGCAAATCCCCTTAAACTGACCAAGAATTTTTTTCTTTTTTCTCATGGTTTTCTTAATACCGTAACCAAAATAAAATACCTGTTTTTTTCTTATAAAATAGAAAATGAATTACAATCTTAAGAACTAAAGAAAGACTCTTCAAATTTCTTGAGTTAATTTAGACATATGGGGATCAGGATAACATCTATTTGGTAACACAGCATCAAACAGAATTCAGGGTACTTTGTTCATTCTCAGATGAAAAATGAAGCTTTAAAGCATTTTAGTGTCCACTCAAGAATATCAATATAGCATGTGATGTATTCTGATGTGATTCCACAGTCAAATATTACATAAATATGTAGCTGGACAACAACTCAGACACTCTATACACAGAGCTTGACTATACATATAGGGACTGTATTTACTTTTTAGAAATGTACATGTAAGAAATATACACAATGCTCTAAGAACTGATAAATCAAAGGTGTGTCAGAGAGATAAAACTACGAATTCTCCTTAGTGAAACCAGGATATTTCATTGATATTCCTAATGTGGCATAAAATTTAGGTTTACACATTGAGGATAAGAGTTAGTCAGTTACATGTAATGTTCTTAGAGTAAAAACGAATATAAACAAAATGATCTTGGTCCAATGCCTTTTGCAGTTTGTCTCAGGTCTGCTCCTAAAATGGGGAGGGTGGACTAGTTTTCAGACTGTGCTCTACAGAGCCTAACAGCCAAGTCTCCAAGCCTTCTACCTGTGGAAGACAAGGCAGATCTGTTTCTATCTGTTTAAACATTGTTTTTCTACTAAAGATTTTCCTTCAAATAAGAACTCGGCTGGGCACGGTATTCATGCCTGTAATTCCAGAACTTTGAAAGGCCAAGGCAGGCGGCTCACTTGAGATCAGGAGTTTGACACCAGCCTGGCCAACATGGCGAAACCCTGTCTCTACTAAAAATACAAAAATTAGCTGGGCATAGTGGTACGTCCCTGTAATCCCAGCTACTCAGGAGGCTGAGGCAGGAGAATAGCTTGAACCAGGGAGGCGGAGGTTGCCATGAGCCAAGATAGCACCACTGCACTCTAGCCTAGGAAACAAGAGTGAAACTCCTTCTCAAAAATAATAAAAATAAAATGAAACAAGAATTCATTAAGAATAATTTGGAAACTACTGGACAAAATTAACTCCTAAGTCTTTTCTAGTTCTAACATTCATAATAAAAATAACCTTTTTTTTTGAGACAGGGTCTCACTCGGTTGTCCAGGCTGGAGTGCAATGGTGTGACCTTGGCTCACTGTAGCCTTGACCTCTCCAGGCTCAGGTGATCGTCCCACCTTAGGCTCCTGGCTAATTTTTTGATTTTTTGTAGAGATAGGGTTTTGCCATGTTGCCCAGGCTGGTCTCAAATTCTTAGACTCAAGTGATCCTCCCTCCCACCTTGGCCTCCCAAAGTGTTGGGATTACAGACGTGAGCCACTGTGCCTGGCCTTGGAATAATTTAAGCTCTTAAATGTTGAATGCTTTAAGAGTATCTAAATATGTACATAAAAGAAAAATGCATATGATAATGTGGGCTTCACTTATTTCCAAGAATACATTCAAATTGAATTAATGTTCTAACCTCGTGAAAATGCCATCCACAATCCCAATTGTTGCTTCTTCTGCAGGAACATAGGAGCCAATCTGAGCCATGATGGTAATTAACGCAACTTGTTTTATGTAGGAGCTCTTTCCACCCATGTTTGGTCCAGTAATTATCATTACTCTTTCTGAGTCCTCCTAAAAATTAAAAAGGAATTTTACTTATTGTACCAGAAAAGTTTTAAGGTAATATCCACAATTTATCCCATAAATGGAAATGCATTAGGCAAAACAATACTTTGCAGAGTAAATATCACAAAAGGAAAGAGGACCTCTTTGTCTTCAACCTGAACTGTGTGATACTGCTAAAAAGTCAATTCTTAGCCGTATACACAGCTATTCCTGGGTATTAAAAAGGAAAAAAGACCAAAGTGGATAATTGCTATGGCTTTCTCAGTAAGCATTTTGCAATCTGCCTATGTGGATGTTCTCCCTATTGCTTATGTTTAAAGTATATCAATCTCCATTTGTCCATCTTAAAATGATAGGTGTTACATATCTAATCACCCAAGGCCCCATTTGGGGTTGGCAGCACATGAATTTTTCAGTTACAGGTAGATGACTACTAAAAGATATTTACAACATCAAATTCTAGATATTGGTTTATCAGAATTTAATTATTTACTAGCATTCACCAGAGCACTCGAAGGAGGCAGAACTGTAACTCTTGCAACAACTTAATTTTCTAGAACTTTTCTGTATTGATCAATTATAGTATTTTCCATGTACACACCACTGCTAAGGGAACTTGTCCAGTGACAGCCCTTGGCAGACGAGTTAGCCCAGGGCATCTGTGCTCTGTGCTATGTGAATCCCATACTTTGGCAATAGCTGCCTGGTCAAGAGTAGCCAAGCCGGCAGGGCACAGTGGCTCACTCCTGTAATCCCAGCACTTTGGGAGGCCAAGGAGTTGGTTTGCTTGAGGCCAGGAGTTTGAGACCAGCCTGGACAACATGGCAAAACCTCATCTACACAAAAATTAGCTGGGTGTGATGATGGCAGTTACTTGGGAGTCTGAGACATGAGAATCGCTTGAATCCAGGAGGCAGAGGTTGCAGTGAGCCAAGATAGTGCCACTGCATGGGTAACAGAGTGAGATTCCATCTCAGGAGAAAAAAAAAAAAAGCCAGAACCAGCCAATGGACCTAGTATAAAATCTTCTAAAACTAAGCTAATCAAATAATCTTTTGGGAGTTAACTCAGAACCAGTGAGGTTCAATTACTTGGTAACCTGAGAGACTGAAAAGAATCATAGAACAAGGCCACAAGGCACTGGGGATCATGAGGAAGTAGTTATGAGAAAATAAATGGTATGATAAAAAATTATTTAGACAGGGGCAAAAGGGGTAGTTAGTAATGAAAGGAAGAAAAGATACACAAGAGAGAGCCAAAAGGAAGTGTGACACTTCTCACAATTAACGGTATCAAAGTAAAGCCTTATAAAGTGTTACTAATGGGGGATAAAAAGAAAACCTGTTCCATCCCTAAAGCTGCATCATATTCTAATTAGCCACATATTTCCAGTCTCCCTAATGCCAAACTGTGCATTAGGGAGACTGGAAATATAGGGAGATCCTGCTCTTCCTGTGTGATTCCTTTCTCTTATGGCTCCATATGGCTTTATAATGCACCTCATACATCTTTACTTGAAGAAACTTCAGTGAATCTGTTTCTTGTGACAGGAAGAGCCTAACACAATAAGAACCTCAAAAGTAGTTTGGTATAAACAGAATAAAAGTAATGATAAAAGTAAAATGAATTCTACAGAGATTAAAAATAAGCTTGTCATAAAACAATCAAATATTTGGCATTATCAAATATTTTATCTCTTTTTAATCTTTTTTAATATACATCTTTATCTCCTTTTTTAAAAAATCACAAAATGACACAAGAAATAGAAAAATCTAACAATCCTATATTTATTAAATTTGTAAAAACCTTTCCATAAGAAAAACTCTAAATGTAGTTCCCCACTGAATTCTTGCAAACATTTAAGAAAGAAATAGCACCAATATTACAATAATTCTTCTTGAGAACAGTAATTTTTTTCCAAATAATTTCAAATTTGGGTATCAATATTCTTGATATTAAGAACATTACAAGAAAAATTACAGACCAATTTCATCTATAAACATACATGCAAAACTTTTAAATAAACTATTAATAAATCAATCCAAGGTTATATAAACCATTTAGAGCTTTTGAGGAATACAAAGTTTGTTTAGTATTCAAAGGCCAATCAATAAAATTCACCACATTAACAGAACAAAGAAACCATATAATTATCTTCAGTAACACAGAGAAAGTATTTGACAAAATCCAACACTCACTTGTGGAAAACAATGGGCAGGAAAGGGAAATAAAAATAAAAGATATAAGGATCAGAAAGCAAGTAATAAAACTGTCATTATTTCTATATGTTATAATGGTGCTCCCAGAAAATCCAAGGAAATCTATAAAAATTGATCTCTGGATACAAGTTCAGTATTCAAAAATCAACTTTCCCCCTGTATTTTAGCAACAAATGTAGGTTGAGTATCCTTTATCCAAAATGTTTAGGGACAGAAGTATTTCCAACTTCAATTTTTTTTGGATCCTGAAATATCTGCATTATAAATAAAATTTAAGATGCTCTGAAATCCAAAGCTCTTTGAGTACCAATATGATGCTCAAAGGAAATGCTCATTGGAACATTTCAGATTTTGGATTTTCAGATTAGGAATGCTCAACCTGTAATTCAAAATAAAACATTTTTAATGATACAATTTACCACAGTATCAAAAGAAATCAAATACCTAGGAATAAATTTAACAAAATAAGCAAGACACTACATAGCAAACTACACAACATTATTGAAAGAAATTAAAGAAGACCTAATTAAATGAAGGAATAAACCATGTTCATGAACCGGATGGCTCAATATTGTAATGCTACAATAATTACAGTAGTGTGATTTGGCACAATGATATACATACATAACCAGTGGAATGGAAAGCACAGAAACAGACTGACATGTATACAGTTCCCTAATTTATGACAAAGGTGACACTGCAGCACAGTTGACAAAGGACAGTCGTTTCAACACAGTATGCTGGCAAGATATGGAGAGCAATTTGGAAATGCCTAGAAAGATTGTGTCTACTGGTCTACATGACCCAGCAATTCCACTGTTAAGTATCTACCAAAAAAAAATACAAGTGCTCAAAAAGGCATGTATAAAACTGTTCACCGTAGTATTGTTTGTATGCATTCATAATTGACAAAAATAGAGATAATCTAATTGTCTATTGTTAGGAAAATAAACAGACCTACTTGTACAATTATTAAGACAATTGTTTACAATGCAGAATACTAAGACAGGCTCAGTGAGACCTTAATGTATATCTTTAAAGATACACAAAACATGATTATATGCTTAATTGATATATATATATATATATGTCAAATGAAAGAATAAAAACCATGCATAAGGATAATAAATAACATTAGGATAATGTTTACCATGGAGGGTAAGAGGTGAAGAGGGAGACAAAGAAATAGCAGTTAATTATGTATGACCTTAGCTGTATCTGTAATTTTTTACTTACTTAAAATTAAATTCCTAAATATTACAAAATGTCAATCTCTATGACATTTGTGTGATGGGTAAATAGGTGTCTGTTACACTGTTTTCTATACTTTTTCATCAGTTGGAATCATTGAAAATCAAATTAATTTTCTTATTTCATGAATCACCACCGTAAATAATTCAATAACTCCTTACAAACACATTTATGTAATTTAGGAATAATTCACATAACTTCCAAATGACATTTTGTTATTTGGACTTCCAGAACATTATATACAAGAAAAACAATAGAGAAAAGTAAAAAATGGAAAGTGCAAGAATGTAATGGCAGAGAGAATACCACACAGATGGGTTATGTGTGTTGTGCCAATGCTCCCTGAACCATGACCACATTGTTAAAGGAGCTGTTTCAAATGGGATTACCAAATTCAACAAGCACATGAGAGTAACCAATGGAAATACAGAAACAGAAATGTTTTTAAATCAGTAGTTTAGGAAACACATGAGGAAAAAAAAGAAAAAATAAACACTTCTTATTTTGTAGAAATCTTATGCCTTCCAATACCTTGAAAGATAAGAGTGTTTATACTTATTGTTCAGTTTGGCTTTTTCATGCAAGGAGAATCAGTAATTTGACAGTGGTTTTTTTTTTTAAAGTATTAATTTGGTAAACTAAAATAGTTTACTAAATAAGATTTGTACTGGTAAAGCATATTATAGTACCATTTAGAGTTAGAAGACAGGTTCAGTTTCTGGCTTAGCCACTGGCTAGGCTAGATACATTTCATTTTCTCATCTGTAAGACTGAGTAATAATGGAAATCCTAATCTTACATGCATTTTGTAAAGTTTAAAACAATTAAAATATATATATGAAATTCCTTTGAAACTATAAATGCCATAATCATTTTTATAAATCATAAATTCTTAAAAATAAAAGATGCCCAAAGCAGCCACACACAGTCCCAATGCCCTATAAACTAATTAACTGAAACAGAGGAAATGAACTAAAACAAATTAAAATACATTTCGTTTAGGTCTAATGTAAAAGTCAGATGTGAAACTTATTTGAAGACCTTGATAAGTAAAATTCTGTGTATGGTATTTACATGAATAGAAATGTCACTCTCTTCTGAATTTAAATTGCATATACATTGGTGAAAAGGATGTATTATCCAAAGTGATTGAGCAAGTCTGACAGTTTCCAATATTTTCAAAAAGAGTAATGTTTTTTATACTGAACTACACAGAAACTGCTAGCTTTTAAAACTATACAATCTTTGAGTATTTCATTTCTCCTGAGTTTAACACAGAATGATGAAGTTTTCAGTTATTTGAACTTTAGGATTTCAGAGCTAACTGAAACACAAAAATCATTCTTTGTATATATAGAAAAAAGTATCATATAAAAAACTTCACAGTTCCAATATTTAAACAATGTTTATTTAGCTGGGAAACAGGTTTCTTTCTGACACTATCCATCAGTAAATGGTGAGTGAGTGATAGAACAAAATTACCCTTAGACAACTTCCTCAACCAGGTCAGGGATAGCTACTAAAAACCTACAGAAA